GCCCGCCCGCGCGCGCGCGCGCGCGCGCGCGGGTGTGTGTGTGTATATATATGTATATATATTTATATTTATTTATTTTATTCAATTACTGCCAGCATTAGCATTATCTATCTAATACCCAGACAAGAAAGTTATTCTTGTCTGGGTATAAGAGGGTCTCTAAGTATAGACTGGTTAAATTTTGCGCGTTGTGGAGTGCGTCAAATTATGCAATTTTTTTGGAGACGTAATATGTCTTTACTTTTTAAAAAATGACGGGTGGAAGAAAAGGTGGATTAAAAATCGATCTAAAACATCTTTAAGAACAGACTTACCCTTGAAAAGTCTGTACTTAAAGTACAGTAAAAGTAAATATATATTAAATTCCTTTCAATTTGAATTTATAGTCTTTATAGTTATGAATAATTATTTCGCGACATTTTAACATGATTACAATTTAACATGATTCATATATTTGGCGTAATTTTTTTTAATGATTAGACAGGTATCTTGATAACTATTGCGATCGCAAAATGGTAGAGGACTTTTCGACTCAGTTTAGCCCACTCTATCTGCCCATGAGTACTTTATCATTAAGTATCGGACCCTGTATATACACTGATGAACAAAATTAACGCATAGATAAATTTATACCAAAATTTCGCAACTGTAAACAGTCGTAATTCCACAAAAAATGATCGAATAAAAAAGTTTTTTTTTCATTTTCAAAGGTAAAACCTGTACTTTTAATCGATTATGAATCTACCTTTCATCCTAGATTCATAATCGATCAAAAGTACAGGTTTTACCTTTAAGAATGAAAAAAAAACTTTTTTATTTGATCATTTTTTGTGGAATTCTTCTATTCAAATTATGTGCTATAATGAAATTTTTTTATAGAGGAATTTATTCGTAATCATAGCTTATGCGTCCACTTTTTTATAGATGAATACATGTTAAAAAAGAATATATACTTCGTGTAAAGTATTTTTGCTTAGAGAAAACGTTTTATAGAGGTATTTTCCGATTATATACAGAATTTTTTTTGAGATGTGAACACGTGGAAAGAACACAGAGCATGTTGCGTAGCACAAGGATGCATTCGCGCTCACATATACATATTGCTTTACATATTTTTTTTATAGACTTATATAACTATGATTTTTTGCAACGTAACATATGCTTTAATTATAAAATTATTTACACGCTTGTACAAAACTTGCTGCCTTGTGCATATTGTGTAGCAGATAAATAAAAAATTTTTTTTAACAAATGAGCGTATCGCAAGTTTCTTACATATTCTTGTATTTCAAGAAGCTATTCGATTTATTGTAGTGAATTTTTTTAGAGGAATTTACTCTTAATATAACTCATGCGTCCACTTTATTTTTATAAATGAGTATGTATTATAGAGGATATTTTATGTAAGATATTTTTGTTTAGAGAAAATACAAGAGGAGTTTCCCGCTTATAAATAGAATATTTTTTCTGGGATGAACAAAACCTTTTTCTTTGTGTGTGTTAATAATACATAACAATTTAAAATAAACTTAAACATATAAGACACAATTAATTGTATTAATTACGACAAATGGTAGCTAATATATGAAAAGTAAAGATAATGGTATAACTCGACGTAAATTGCACGACAATCTTTGAATAGATAAATTCAAAAGATGAAAGCACAAATAAAAATTTACGAAATGCTTTTTCATTTCCTTAAAATAAAATAAAAAGCGTTAAATGTATTACAAGATGAAAAATAGCTAACGCAATACAAGTGAAAATATTCTTTATTTTGAGAAAAAGAAAATTTAATAAATATAAAGAAGTTCCTTCTCTTCTGCAAAGAAAAATATCAAGATCATCCCTTCAAAATATAAATATTCTTTCTTCTTTGAACAAAAATAAAAAGATTTTCCTTTTTTCAAAGAAATACAATTTTGCATCCAAGAAGAAACTTCTTTAAAGAAAAATCTCTTTTTTAAGAAAGAAAAAATATTTCTTTTAGGAATCTCTTCTTTTTTGCAGAAATTTTAAGAATTAAAGATATTTTATTTTTCTTTCTTGCTTTCTTTTGCTAAACACATTCTCAGATAAGAGTCGTGACGAACCAGAAAAATAGAACACTGAAGATATTTGCGGTCTCCCTGGGGTTTTCCTTCATGTCGCTCGTGTCCTTGTCCATTATTGTTGTCGCACAATCTCACAAAATCTGACGACTCTTGAAGTTAACAGAAAAAAAAAAGAAAACGATCGGAATTCTTATTTTCTCTTTTTTCTTGTTTTTCCCCTTTTCCTCTTTTGCTCGTTCTTATTCTCTTATCTGCCTTACCTCGAGGCACTCTTTCCAATAGTCAATCCTTTACTGGAAACATCAGTAACTGTGTCGTTGCTTTTCATATCGGCATTCGGTGTTGCAGGTAATGATATACAAGAAGCTTTAACGATAACTGTACGTTGTATAAACTACGTCATGCGTTTCAAGTTTTTTCCGTTTAACGGATTTTTTTTTGTAGTTGATTTTTATAGTAAAATTTTATTTTCTTTTTATAGTATTTTTATTATATTTTTTATTTTTTACTAAATCTAATTATGTTAATAACTATTTAAATAATAACTAGATAGATTATTATTTTAATATTAACAATATTATTTTAAACAATATTTAAAAATTTTAACAACGCACAAAAAGTAAACGAATTAGCAATTCACTTTCCAGTTAAAGTTTATTTAGAAAAATTTTTGAGCGAACAGATTAATTCTTTGTTAGTCATTTGATTTAAGAACATAACTTTATTAGATTTAATTGTAAGCTTGAATAGTATTTGTTACGTCTTAACATAAAGTCAATAATAATATTATTACTGTTTCATAATTAACTTCTAAAATTACAAAATTATAACAATGCATCGCAAATGGATAAATTCTTTTAGCAGTAACATTGCTGTCGCACAGCTGCAACAATAATAGAATTATTATACAAGACAAGATGAAGCAAACGATTAACTAGAAGCAAACTAGATTAACAGTAATATTTTGAAACAAAGAAGCAACTCCTTTTTTTAGTTAGGAATAAAAAACCGGTTTTTTAAACGGAAAAAACAATTAAATTATAATAAACGCGCCAAAGACGAGCAATCAATGGATGTACATGTCATTCTTTATTCTCTCATATATGTATAATAAAATCGATACTAGTTTCAACTTCACTAGGTCTTTTTCTATCGCCTAATTAAACCTAACTACATAAACGCAGCGCAATAAATATAAATCAAATATAAATATAAAATATTAGTCAATACCGTGGAAAATTATATCAAAAAACCAAGAATCGGAGTCATACAGTAACATTTATTATAAACAAAAAAAAACAGAATCATCTAGTAAAGCCAAATTTTATAAGATGATCCGGAATAAACGCGTAAGATGGTCATCATGTTAAAATGACGGGACTTTCAAACTTACAATTAGTGTCACGTTATATTTATGTTTCGTACACGAGTGTGCCGACAGATGTTCCATTTGTTTGGAATGTATAGTTTCACAATTCATTATAATGCATTACAAAACATCGACCAGAGCACATCTCATTTTATATCGTTCTAAAGAAGTCCAACTTCTTACACAACCTTCAGTAAATGCGGTTCACGTACGAAACTGGCAACGTTGCTTATTAACGTTAATTACAAGACAATATTACGTTTCTACTTTTTTCTATTGAGATGTTATAATAAAAAAAAAAAGGATTTACGATGTTAAATGAGGGACCATTTGGCGATTGCGGGAACATTGCAATTGCTTGGAGACGACAAATTTATACGGACATATAAGAAGTTTCTTCCGAGCATTACTTAAGTTTGCGGTTACTTTAATTATTTTTGTTTATTTGCGTTTGAATAAGACTAAAAATCCACAAGTGCCTTTTTATGTTGATGCTCGACGTTCATTATTAGCGTCGAAGTAAGTCACGTGATCATAGTTGACGCTGGCTTGCACAAAAAGCGGCAACATCAAATTTAACGCAATTAACGTCAATTGTCAAGTTTTTTTTTTACAAGGCACGTCTAATAGTAGTATTAGACAAAATCAGTTCATGTCTGTCAAACTCATTCTGAGAATAGACCTAAAAAAATTTGTAACTCTAAGACAATTTTCTTCGTGTACTACACTTAAGTTTCATTCGTTATTGTGTGTAAAAAGGCTAAAAACATTTCTTTGTAAGAGCTACTTTAATTTCGCAAATCACCATTATATATAAATACAAAACATTAAATATATTTTTCTTTCGTACAAGATCTTTTCAATATAGGGGAATCTATAAAGCGGACTGTTCAGTGATAATGGCATCGCTATCGATATTTTGCGCCGATAAATTCAATTCATGATGATGGTTATTGCTCTCGCAAGCCTTCTTCGACTGTTGCAAAAGACTTTGCGCCATTTGATTGCCTGTCTTCTCCACCATTTGTGAAAAATAACCATTCGGTTTGTCATACAGTAGCTCGTATGGGCAACCAAATTCCTGTTGGCGTGACAATTCTAATTATCAAATGCACATATACACAAATGGAAATCACGTTCTGAAGAAATTGAATTACGAGATTTCAGAAAAAACTTTACTATCTTTATCAGTCAATATTTAAATATTATATAACTATATGATTTTACATACTCTAGCTTCAACGAACTGCGAGCCGTTACTATCGGATTCAACGCAGCATTTGGTTTGCACATAGTTATATTTAAATATTCACTGACACCTATATTTCACTCGTCTTTGGCATCCCTTATCCTGACTATTGTTTACGATACAAGCTGGTAATTTATTTAGTTATTTGGCTATCTTTGTTCATATAACATTAACTATTTTCAAGAAGAAATAAATACTATTCAATATAATATTGATTTTGAAAAAATCATATTAAGAATTAAAAAAAGAGAACTATTTGAAAATTTCAATATTTTCTTACAACTAGATCTTCTAGAATAGACAACACAAATATATAAATTTGATTATATTTCAACACCTTTAGAATTCTAATTGTAAAAATTCAATTATTAAATGTACATTTTATGGGCACAAGATTAATCAGATTTGATTTTTTTATCGTTATCTGGGAAATAATTTTTCATATAAGAACATATATAAATATATATAAACATATATAAAAATATATAATTACATATAATTATATATAAAAATATGTCCATATATAGCCATATCTATATGTATGTCTCTTTCCTTTGTAAAATTATTCTTTAATACAAAAAAACAATAATAAGGAGAAAACATAAAAAATAATTATCATTTAGATAATCTCCTTCTAATTGGTTCCAGCCCAGAAATGTAAATACCCAGAGTTTATTTTCGACTCATTGTCAGTGCAACAATCAGTCGCAATTTCACTGACTGCGTCTTTCTCCTAAAACTATTATTTTTTCTAACACCTTATTAAAATGGAATACTTACCACGATAGAACCATTCTCCAACACGATTATTCGATCGCTGTCTATAATAGTATTCAAACGATGTGCTACCGTGATAACGGTGCATTCTTTAAAATTCTTTCTTATTGTATCCTGAATTAAGGCATCGGTGCTAGAAACAAAAGTATAATTTTAGAGTAAATTTGCAAATAAATTAAATTTAGAAATTGTGCATTTACAATAGTTTTACAGATAAAGATTACAAATCTTTGTCAAAAATTTGATCGAATAAAATTGAGAAAAAGTTTGTTTTTTAAATCTGAAATATATTATGACATGAATGTATAATGCAATTTATTATATTGTGAAGATACCAAATAATTCCAAAAATCCAAAACTTTTTAAATTGTATATACGACAGTTTAATCCTGTTCATTAACTATCAATTAATCAAAATCGCTAGACTTACCAAAAAACATTTAAACACAATTATACTGTTAAAAAAATTGTCGAGACTCACTGTGAATCAATGTTGGCCGTGGCCTCATCCAGAACGAGCAAACGATTGTTCCTTAGAATAGCCCTAGCCAGGCATACAAGCTGTTTCTGGCCAACGCTGAAGTTGTGACCACCGTACAAAATATTGTGATCCAGATCGACGTCATTCAGTTCGACCTGCCGCAGCACCTCCCACAGTTTCATATCATCATATTGATTAAACGGGTCCAGATTATAACGCAAAGTCCCTGAAAACAGCACCGGTTCCTGCGGTATAATGGAGATCTTGGAGCGCAGCTCGCTCAAGCTTACAGTGCTTGTGTCTCGACCGTCAAGCATAATCACGCCTTCCAGACCTTCGTTGAACAAACGGAAGAGTGCTGAGATCAAGGAGGATTTACCGGCGCCAGTTCGTCCCACCACCCCAACTTTCCAACCAGGCTCGACGGAAATGTTCAGATTCTACAAAGTGTGACTACGAGATAAAACAAAAAATATATTCGTAAAAATGAACGATAGGTTTATCTACCTTCAAAACCGGTGAATCATTTCTGTAATACTTCATGTTGACGTTTTTCAAAATCAATTGTCCTTGATGTGGCCATGTGGACGGCGGCGAATCCGATGAAGAAATGGGCTCCTTAGGAAGATTCGTATACTGGAGAATCCTTTCCACGGATGTCATTTGTGCCATCGCCTCAATGGACATTCTTATGCCGTATTGGAATTCAGTAAGCAGAAAAAACGATTGCGATATGGCTAGACCGGATTTGTTGCCGTCTATGCTGACTGCAGCACAAAAACCAAAAAAGTTTCCAATAGTAAGTAAATCGTATTTTTAAAATATTGATCACACGTAAAAATAAGAACATACTAATCAATAACAAACATACTAAAGTTTAAAAACCGAAATATTATTTGTCTAATAATCTTTGATAATTAAAATATTACTTTATTGTAGCTTTATATATATATATATATACTAAATTCTTTGAAAACAATTTATCTTCAATCTAAGAACTTTTAATTATTTATAATTTACCATTTTCATTTAGTAAATCATTTAGTATCAGGGAGAAACAAAGGCAGGCAAAAAACAAACATATGATTAGCTCAACAAAGATAGCGAAGGTCGCCGAACACGTTAGAAAGAGATACCACGTGCCACTGTGATGATCTTGCAATACATCGAATTGTTTTCGCATCATCTTCTCGATTTCATTGCCGCTGCTTCTGATCGTCGACAGACCATTTAGCGTCTCGTTTACGTGCGAAAACAATGGACTTTTCACTGAAAACGCAAATTTGAAAACATAAAAAAAAATTGCAGATTTACATTCCGGAAGAAGTAAGGATTTAATATAATAGTCTGAATTCGATGTGACAGAAATCAAACGATTCAGAAATCTAGAAATATTTAAGATGCTTTTCTGATGAAGTTACTTGTTTTAATACTTACTTGTGCCTTCGAGACGTTTGATACCCTGAATGGTTTTTAGGTAGAACTTCGTCGTGAAGAAAAGTAAGACAATCAGAATCACTATCGGTATAAGTATCCATTGATTAATTATCACTTGTATTACCATTACACCGCAAACTACAAAATACATCTGGATTGTTTCTAATATCGTTTTGGGTAGCAATTCGTCTACAGTGTCCATGTCCTTAGAAAATCTGTTTAAAATTCTCCCTGAAATACGAAAATCGTTAAATGGAAGATTCAATAAAAATCCGAAAATTAAATACCAAAGATCGGAGTTGCGATATAAGAGGGTTTACATTTCGATAATTTATAGTTCAATGATTATGAATAATATAAAATATTATGAATATGCGGATGATAATTATTTAACACCTTTAACAGTAAAAATAAGCATTTAAATGTTATCGAAAATATCGTGATTCGACAAAAATTTTAACTTCTTGTTTTTGACATCAAAATTTCATAAACTCAGGTAGAAGTAATTCTTATAATATTTTTAAGAATTTATTGTACTTTTTTTACTTTTTCAAGAAGATTTAAAAACAATGCCTTTTATCTTTATAAGTTTTATTCAAAAATGTTAAAATAAGAAATCTTAAAAATCTTACAATATTTGAGAATTCATATTTATAAAAAATTTTAAAATAGTTACAGACATTTCAAGCACTTTTGAAAAGTTAAAGTAAAAAATTTAGAAAGTTTATAAATGTACAAAAATTTTGAAATATATCAAAATAAGATACAAAGTATTCTAAAAAAATTTTGACTAATGTGTTGTTACAAATCTCTTTATATGGCTACGAATTTAATTGTCTGTGAAGATCTGGCGATTGTTGCTCACCGGAAGGATTACTGTGGAAAAAGGACATGCACGCCTGCAACAAATTGGAGAACATAGTGTTGTGAAGATTGCAGCTTGAGTTCATGCAGACCATCATGAAGAAGAAGCCTCGAAACAGCGTAGTGGCAGTACAGGCAATGACGGAGAATGTGTATACATATATGGCATCTACAGTGCTGAGCAGGCCGTCTGGATTCAATGTAAAAATGGATCCAAGGAAGCTGTTGTTGTACATGTGCGCGAATCGATTGGCGTCACTTGTGTTTTCAATACGCCTGACATCTTCCAAGGTAGTCCAGTATGAGAGCCAATAATCATTACCAGTAATGGCGATCTGGCTGATAATAAAAATCAGCAACAGCATAAACAGGGTGAAATAGTTGCCGCCGTGATGCAGATACTCTTTGTACACTCTCCAGGATACTCGACCGTGTGCTATCATCTCCACTTCCGGTCTATTTTCTACATGATCCGAATTATCAATATCCGAGTACTGCACAATGAAAGAATAATCAAATTGGTTGATTATGCCTCACAACTGATCGGACCAGTCTGATTAAGTTAGTCGCGTTATAGAGCATTAAAGCATTAAAAACATTATAATGTATCAATACTAAAGAAATTAATATAGATATTTGAAAACAATTTTTTTTGCAATTTTATTTAGAGAACTCCTATTACTTTGTATTATTAGTTGCTAATTAGAAAAATAATGTTAAAAATTTTTAATGTAAATTAAAATTAGTGTAACTATGTTACACATTTTTAATGCAAATACGTTGTACAGATATTTTTTTTCAATTAATTTCTTCTATTACAAATATCTTTTATTAAAGATAATATGTAAAAAATTTTGAACATTATGTTTTTTTTGTCATAATTGGCAAGTGATTGAGATAATCTTACAACAGAACTTGCAAGCGATGATCCCGAATCTCGTCTCGTAATTCCCCTCATATATATTTCCGAAACTTTCTTCATCTTCACTTTCTTTTTCTGCGCATCGTTACATAAATTATCCATTATCCCAATGAAATCTTTATTTGACTGTACTAATTCGTTATAGCTTCCTCGCATTTTCACGCAACCCTTAACAAATGTAGGATATTTAATTTAAAGGATGTTTAACATCATTTTAACAATTTTTTAATTAATATTACACTATATAAATTATATAAATTTTGTAATGTTTGAATTTGCGACTCACTTCATTCAGCACGACAATATGATCCGCTTGTTTGAGAAATTGCAACTGATGTGTGACGAGTATCCTCGTCCTGTCGTGGAGATACTCGGTAATGCACTTCGAGTGAAGACGTCTGGCGACGCGAGTATCAACTGCGCTCAAGGGATCGTCTAGTAAATACAGATCTGCCTGTCTATAAACCGCCCTTGCAAGACTGATTCGCGCTTTTTGGCCTCCGGACAATAATATACCTTTATCGCCGACCAACGTTAAGTCTCCTTGTAGAAACTGCCGGAAATCTTTCATCAAGGCGCACACATTTGTCACCTATAAAATGTTTATCATTCGATCAAAAGTCAGTGAAAATATAAGTTAAGTAAGAAATATTAAAAAGTTTGTAATTAGGAAATATATGTTAGACATTCTTCTTTTGTCTATAGATGGAATTGTATAGATGTAGATTCTATTATTCTTTTATTTTCGAAAATTTGTGGTTTTTCACCGTCTAACAAAAAAATTGGTGAAATAATCATTAGTATCATCTCAAAGGATTTCAAAACGGACTTTGCTCTCTCAAATAAAAAAAAAAGACTTTTTTCCACACCAATTATTTAGCAAGATATTGCAATTTTAAGTAACCTCCGTTTTTTTTACGATTTTTAGCAAAATATATAGTAAAAAAATAGAAGTTACTTGAAATTGCATTTTGTTAAGTAATCGGCATAAGAAAGTTTTTTTTTCATTTTCTTCTTTAAAAGGCTAAGTCCGTACTTTGAGATGGTACCAATGATTATTTTGACCAATTTTTTTATTAGGTGGTGAGAGACAACAAATTTCGAGATTTTAGGTGTGTCAAATACGTCTTTATTCAAAGTTGATCACACCTTTAAGTATTAAACTAAATAAAAATTGAACAAAAGCATCTTATAGCAAAGAGTTTGCCCTATAAAAAATGTTGTTGATCTATTTTTTTAAGTCAATTATTTGCTGAGTAAAAAAATTCAAAAATGGGCAAAAATTTACTGAGAAACAGTAACCTCATAATTTTTTTGGAGTGTATAATACTCACTTGCATGTACTTGGCCTTGTCGTAAGGCTGGCCAAATAATATGTTGTCTCTCACAGTACCGTTGAAGATCCAAGGGTCCTGACTAGCATAAGAGATACGCAGATTCGGATTATTCGTGAAATAACCGTTAGACAAATTGTCCTGAAAGTTATAATTGAAGGAGCCCTGAGTGAAAATCACGGAACCCGCGCCGAGATCCAGTTCCTTCAGCAGCAGGTGTAACACGGACGACTTGCCGGAGCCCACATCGCCGATCATAGCGCACAACTGGCCTGGCTTGACAGTCAAATTGATGTTACACAAAGTTGGTGGCAATTGGTCACTAACCCAATTGGCGCAAACACGCTGAAGTTCCACGCGGACCGGAAGATCAAATAATCTCTGAGACTCGGAAAGCTCAATACTTTCATTTTCCGAGATGTCTGTTTGTTTTTTCTCATTAGTTGCTTTGTTTGGTTTCTGAGATTTTGACTGTAACTGCGGCATCTTTTCCAATTGTCTCACATTTATTTCGTTCATCAGGAGAAAGTCCTGTACAAGAAGTTAAACACTTTAGACGTAAATGCGTGGTGGTAAAAATATTGTAGACACATCGTAAGATTATAGATTTAAAAATTCGTTGTGAAAATAATTTCAAAATAATGTGACAGCTCATTATACCTCCAATCGATTCAAAGACACGACCGATTCGCCCAGTAGTATTATGCCATGCGGAAAGAATAATCCGGAGGTGATATTAAGTATGGCAATGTATGTTACCATTTCGTAGGTAATGTCGGCAGTTAAAGCATTCCCCATTAGAACAAACATTATTAGGGCAAAGTAGAGGCTCAGTCGTTGCAATAAAACTATTGCGGCCAAATGCGCGGCGCGCACATACGATGAAACTTTAATTTTCTTTATCTCCATCTTTCTGATCATCGACACAATCTTGCCGAACGGTTTCTCCCAAGCATACATCTTTACTACCTGAAACAAGAACCATCATATCGTAAACTTGTTTCATGAAATTGTTTTCGTGGAATTTGACACTTGAACGTTAGTGTTTTTATCTATCTGGATCGTTTAAAAGTAAAATAACTGATCAAATATACCTGTATTCCAGCTATAAGTTCGCTCATTAGCTGCACTCTTCGGTCGGTCAGTGGTGCAATCATGGCTCTAAATCTGCGGCTCAGCAAGCTGAAAGTCCCGTGAACAATTAGAGGAATGATCAACATTGGTCCTATGCCGGCAAGAGTAGAAAGACCGATCTTTCGCCACATTATGGTTCCTATGATTACCGTCTGCAAATAGAAAAAAATCCGAAAAGAATCTTCAATAACTATTTCTTCAAAAGCAACACCAAATAAGAAAAAAGAAAAGAGCCTTCATCTTTATATAATCTAAAACTACCTTGCAAAGTTGTAAAATACAAATTGCATACAAACTGATATAAATGTACTTTTTATAAAGAGTACTACTACTACTACTACTATTACTACTACTACTACTACTACTACTAGTACTACTACTACTATTAATAGATATACTTATAAATCATCTATAAAAGAAATAATTAATTTAAACGATTTTAGTTGAAAGAAACTATGATTGAAAAGCTGATTAAATATTTCTGAATGTACACGAATACTTTTTAGAAGATAAAAATTTACCTGAATAGGCATGATCCATATATAATTCAGGTATTTCATTAATAGATCAAAGCGAGTAACGTCATTGCTGAGAAGATTTATGATCTGTCCGGTACCGATTTGATTCATTGATGTTCTGTTCAACCGTAATAACTGCAACAATTATAATAAAAATTTATAGAAACCGCTATTAATTAAAAAAAAAACATTTAGTAAACAGTTTTTTGTATTTGATATCTGTTGTATTTCTCCTACAGTTTTTTTCCATTAATATCATCACGCAACTTCGTTATCATATGACAAAAATTTTCTTCTATTTTCTGTCTGTTGAGCGGCATATCGCGAGAACTTTAATTAGTTAATCAACACAATGTTCTTTTTTTGACTAAAAAGAAGCTTTTTTTTCTTAGAGAAATTTGAATCAACAAATGGGACTTGCAAATTAATCCGCAATGTTCCCTTCCGGTAAAGGAGGGAGCTACAGGCGATGCGTATCCTCATGCCGATCTGCAGCGACAGCATTATCGTATGGTGCATCAATAAAGTAGTGATGACATTGCAGATGATCATGATGACTACGTAGAGTAGAACCTCGTTCGTCTTTGTCTTGTCCTTCGTAGTGGAAACTCTAGCGAAGTAGTCGATGATCCACCCTTGAAAGATCGGTATTCCTACGCGTACTATGCTGCTCTGGAAGCAGAAACATTGAAATTTAATGACTCCGATGGGCTTACGAATTTATAGGATCTAACAATGGTTGGAACAGATTTTGATTGGCTTTGGATATGCAGAACAAAAAAATATAAGACATATTTCTTTACCTAGCTGTTTATTGTATGGTTTAGTGACTGAAATTAATAGATGTGGATAGCTGTATATTACAGAATTTGACGTTTTCGAAAAACGTGTCTAATTGTTATAAAGAGTATAAAAGATTATAAAACTATTGTATACGATTATATAATATAACACAAAACTATTATATGTATTTATAACATTTTTTTCATTGACCCCTAGTTAAAGATATTCATCATTGAAAACGAAAAAAATTCGTTATTTTCAAAAGAGGTCCAATCTCTAATCTTTAAACCTAAATCTCTAAATCTTAAAAATATTCATATTTTGAGATTTTCGTTGAAAATCTATATATATATATATATATATATATATATATATATACATATTTTTATATATTATACACATATATAAATATGTACATATATGTATAAAATAATAAAATAACATATGTTAACATATATATATACTAAAATAATATATGTTATTAAATTGATTTTCAGCGAATATCTTTAATACTATGAGGTAAATGAAAAAATACTTTATATATAATAATTTTGTGTTATATTACATAAGAAGATACAAAGAAAACATGTCTAATAGTTTTTGATGTTTTGCCACGTTTTGATGTTTATTTAATGTACATCAAGATTGGTGAAGAACAATTCTGATTATTTTTTTGTAAGTATTGTAAATATTAGTACGAGTGCATGTTATAAATAATTCTTGCATCCACCTCGTACATGTCACATAATTTTTATACAAAAACATTGATATATACCAAGATAAATGAGTAGATTCCAATTATGAAATATGGCAACCAAAAGGCATTACAGATAGCCTTGTATAATCTTGGACGAACATTCTTTTTTAACGGCACTTTCTGCCCGTCTTTGCTCATGGCATATTCCAGATTTTTCAGCTTATCGAGCTCACGATTCCAGTACCTGAACAAAAAATGCGTTAAAACTTTGGAAAAGTGAGGAGAATGATTCATTGTAAAATTTTACTTTCTCCGTGTTTTGTTGATATCTAGCGCAAAATGAAGTAGATATCAATATTACATTGTACATAATATAAATTATACTTGTATTTCTAAAATAGCTATTTAGATTAGTTAATTATTCTGTGTACAGCGAAAGTGAGAGATAATCGTTATCATAATAACAATATATTAATGTTTGTTTATTATTAATGCTGGCAATACTCACTTCTCAAGATGATCAGTTAATTTTTCGGATTCGTCCGCTTTAATTGGTCGATAAATGTCAGATTCCTTCAAATCGCGCTTGGAGCCTGTTATAAATAATTCTCGCATCCACCTATGCGGATCATCAATATATATTTCACATTGACATACTTTATTATATTGCAGTACAAATATTAGCCTAAAGCAACGGCCCTATATTTTCTTTTCCTTTTTATCAATATAACACACACACGCACACACACATATATACTTATATACTACATAGGCTAAAAAATTTCCGGAATTAAATACAAAATGGCACCATATACAAAAATTAATCTTATAGCTGTCGAATATATTCATTCAAAATTCCACTGTCAAAATGTCATGACATTTCACCGAATAGTTTGTGAGTTACAGTCATTTGAACAAGTCAGCTTTTGAGTTTTTAAAAAAGTGAAAAAAACCGAAATTCGTGCAGTGATCAAATATCAATATTTGAAAAGCTTAAAATCTCAAGAAATCATCGATGAATTTTGGTTTTATTCATTTTTTTTAATACTTAAAAGTTGACTTATTTAAATTACTGTAACTCACAAACTATTTGGTGAAATGTCATGAAATTTTGACAGCGAATTTTTGAGTGAATATATTCGACAACCATAAGATTAATTTTTGTATATGGTGCTATTTTGTATCCAATTTTGGAAATTTTTCAGCCCATATACCATAATATAAAAAATCAACGACTTTTGATATGTGCTTATTCAGGTACATATTTTTCGTCAACATATTATAAATTTCTAGCCGCAAGTTATAAGCATATTAAAATATTCCCAAAATTATTATCATTTCAATAGCTACATGACTGTACAATCTGTGTAGAAATTACAGCATCTAAATAGATATTTTACCAACACCTTGTATCTGCCCAGTGAGAAATGATAGATCGAAAAGACATCTATTAGACATTAATGTCGTTGATGGTTGATATTAATAAGCATCTCTACTACTTTTTAATCATTCGAAAATTTTGTTTCTGTTAGATGTAATAGTAATCGAATTCGTTTAATCGAATTCGCTATTAGATTTTAGAGCCAATTTCCTATTATTAACTCAGAAATATTAATTCTTGACTGTATAATTTTTCTAACGTGGCGATGTGTACACGTTTATGTGTTTTAGTAGTATATTATAAATTTTATCTAAAATGATTCACTGTCAGACATAAATAATTTACACGTTCTGTACTGCGTGGATCCGATGAAAAAATAAGAAAAATTAGTGCAGCAAGGAACGTCCTAATTGTATTCATAATAGCAAATAGCAACTTATGTACAGAAATAACAAAAAGATAAAGACGTGACTCAACGTAAATTAAACATAAAAAGAGGGGGAAGCGCCACACGTGTCATATTTAAATGAACTCATTGCGACGGACGATAGTTGTTGGGCAGAAAAAAAAGATAAAGGCATAATTCAACGTAAATTAAACGCCGATCTTTTTATAGCAAGAAAAAATTTACTAGGTACTTTTCCATTTTCTCGAAATAAAATGTGAAATGTAAAATGTATTATAAGATGCAAAGGAGTTAATGCAATTAGTAAAAATATTTTTTATCTTGTGGAAAAGAAAATCCTGTCTTTAAAATAGGAGAAGATTACTTCCCTTCTTCAAAAAAATATTATTTTGCATTCAAGAAGAAAATACTTCTTCTTTAACTTCTTTTTGATACAATCGTTGATTAACGTCGACAGTTACGAAAGACATACGTATTGCTGATCGTCGACTAAAGTTGACAGCCATAAGAATTGTCTTTTACATCAAGTAATACTACATGTTATAACGAAAAGGTTAAAGAAAACTTGTTTTTAAGAAAAAAAATTTCCGTATTTATGGAATTCTCCCTTTTTTGCAACAATCACTATTTTTATCGTAAGGAGCAAAAGATTTCGTTCTTTTTTTTCCTGCTTTCCTTTTTCAAGTACATTCTCAAAAAAGAATCTTAACGAACCAGAAGAATAGAACACTAAAGATATTTGCCGTCTCCCTCGGATTTTGCTTCATGTCGCTCGTGTCCTTATCCATGTTATAGCACAGTCTCACAAAATGTTACGAAACTTGAAACAAATAAAAATGAAAACGATCGACATTCTTATTTTTTTCTATTTCTGCTGTTTCATTCTTATTTATCCTCATTTTTTTACCTGCTGTCTCTCGAGGCGCGCTTTTCAACAAACTATTCTTTACTAAAATCATCAGTAATTGTACCGTTATTTTTCATATCGACTTTAAGCATAACTGATAACATTGTGTGCAATAACACATTAAAGATAACTGTCTCATATATTGTACATACATATGCAAATAAATACATTTACATAATGCATTATTTTTAGTTTCCATTGTTTCTTTTTTTATATGCAGAATTTTACGCGTTTCTCTCCACTTAACGAATATTTTCTTTCTCTTTTAGCTTGATTTCTATAATAAATTTTATTTGTTGTTAAACCTATTAATTTTAATAACCTTTCAAATAGTAACAATGAGGAAAATAAAATTATTTTCATAGTAATCTGTTTGTAATAACGTAATTTAAATAAAATCAAAATTAACAGCTTTTTGATACATTATCAATTCTTTTTAATTCTCAACTTCTCTGAAATAAACCATGTTTAACAATAAATATCTTGTTAACTATAACGGACACAAAAATTCTTTTAAGAGTTAAAAGTCCTACACAAACAACATACTTAATTTTTATTCCAAGAACATTTCTCTAGCAAGTCGCATTTCGACGTTATAACATGACAAAATAAAGATAGCTTTTTTGCAACTTTACCTGAAAGTTTCTCAAAATTGTGATCTGCTAGAGCAATTCTACAATCGGATTCGGATTCAGCGTCCAAAATGGGAAAGTCTCGTTATGGTGTTCAAAAAAAGATTTTTGTTATTAAAAAGTGTAATTAATTACCAATTAAAGTATTTGCGGTTTGACCGAAAACACTTCGAATGATTAATACTGAGGCATACTATAAATATCATGACTAGTAAAATATTTTATCTATAAATGTATTAAATTTTATAGAATATATATCGAATGTTTCATTGATAAATTTACATATATGACGCTCTATATTTGCATTAAATCCATTTATATGTATACATAACAATTTTTATGCTTACTACTAGATAAAATCAGTTCATGTCTGGCGAAATCATTCTAAGAATAGACCTGAAAAAGTTTGTAAGTCTAAGATAATTTTTTTCGTGTACACTTAAGTTTCATTCGTTATAGTGTGTAAAAAGGCTAAAAACATCTCTTTGTAAGAGTTACTTTAATTTCTTAAATCATTATCATATATAAATATAACATATTAAATATATTTTTCCTTCATACAAGACTTCTATAGTAGAAGAATCTATAAAGCAGACTGTTCTGTGATAATGGTGTTTCTCTCAATATTTTGCGCCGACAAATTGAATTCATGATGATGATTATTGCTCTCGCAAGCCTTCTTCGCCTGTTGCAAAAGACTTTGTGCCATTTGATTGCCTGTTTTCTCCACCATTTGTGAAAAATAACCGTTCGGTTTGTCATATAGTAACTCGTACGGGCAACCAAATTCCTGTTGACAGTTCTGATTATCAAATACACATATGTACAAATGAAAATCACATTTTGAGAAAAATACGAGATTTCTGAAAAAAACTTGGCTATTCTTTGTTCGTATAACACTAATTATTTTTTCAAGAATATAAATACTATTTAATAAAATATATTCACTTCAAAGACTCATGTTATAGATTAAAAAAGAGAATTATTTAAAATTTTTTAAATTTTTTGCAAATGTTTTTTATAACATAAATTTATAGATCTTATTACATTTTAACTCTTTCAAAATTTTAATTGTAAAAGTTTAAATAATGAATGTCCATTTTACGAGCACAGATTGATCGATTTTCTTTATCTTTATTTAGACCTTTTCAGAAATTTAATTAATTATACCAATTAAAATTGCATCATAAATAAATTTTATAGAAAGTTACATAGAAAATTAAATCTTTCAACTGTCTTTCCTGAAACCAATATTTCCCCTAACATTTTTTACGCTTTATTTAGATGGAATACTTACAACAATAGACCCGTTCTCCATTACGATGACTTGATCGCTGTCTATAATAGTATTCAGACGATGTGCTACCGTGATGACGGTGCATTCTTTAAAGTTCTTTTTTATTGTATTCTGAATTAAGGTATCAGTGCTAGAAACAAAAATAGAAAATTAGAATAAATTCAGAAAATCATGCGTTTCTGATAGCATCTTACAAATACAAAATATAGATTATTACTAAAAATATGATTTAAAACAATTTGAAAAAACTTGCTTCTTTCCTTAATCATAAATATATTACAATAATAAAATCTTAAATAAATTGCAATAATATAAATATTTAAAAAAAAAAGAAATAAAAGACCTGCTTCTTTTCTTAATCTTGAATATATTACAATAATAAAATTTCAAATATATTACAATAATATGAATATTTAATAAATTTCTCCAAATTATAAAGATATCAAATTATTTAAAAAATTAATGACAAAATAATAAAAGTTTGACTTAGCTAAATAGAATATTCTAATTCATTAACGATTAATCAGTTAAAATCGCCTATCTTTTTATTACAAAATTTAAATCATACTACTAA